CCCTTCGTCTGAAATATTTCTGGCGTGCTTACTCTACATCGGGCACTGCCAGGTGCTGGGTATACAGTGATGACCAGAACTGGACATGTCACTGCCCTCCTGGAATTTTCAGTCTCATGGAGGAGACAGAAATTAATAAAGCAACACACCAGTAAGCTGAAACCATAAAGCGAGACAGTTCCATGAAGAAAACAAAGGTATTCGTGCTGGACAAGCGATCAGAGGAGGTCCTCTGGGGAGATGAACTTGAGCTGAAGAACGGGCATGAGTAGATTTGGCTGGGGTCGGGCGGGGTGAGAGATGAAAAGAGCTTCCAGGCACATGGAGGTGCATATTCCGATGCTCAGGAGACAGGGCTGACAAATGGCCAGGTGGCAGACACTGGAACAGTGTGGGTGGCACCTAAGGCCAAGGGGAGCCAGGTTGAGGTGACTCGGTCAGACTGGGGGCAAATCGGTTGGTTTCTGTGAAGAATGGATTGTAGAGGCAGGAGCAAAAGCAGCAGTGGCAATACTGCAGTCCAGGTGAGAGATGAGGGGATCGCGGAAGAGGAGGTGGCAGGGGACCAGGAGAAGTGGACTGAGTGAGAGCTTTTTAGGAGGCAGAGAGACAGGGCTGGGGGTGGAGAGGGCAGAGGTCAAGACGACTTGCAGGTCTGACTTGGGCTACTGGATGAACACTGTGGGCTGGGGCACGGGAAGGCGCCAGGGCCAGAGGACAGGGGAGCAGAAGGGCAGGGAATGGGGAGATGGATGACACTGGGAAGAGAGAGGCCTTTGGAACAGGGCTGCAGAGCGGCAGGGTGCCTAAGCCTCAAGTTCCAAGCTGGACTCTGCATTTAAATCCTAGCCCTCTTCCCTCACGGTGTTTCTTCTGAGCAAGTCACTTAACCAGTCTGTGCCTCGGCTTCCTCAACAGTGATGCATAGGGGGAGGGGAGAGATGGTCCTGAAGCTATTGGTCTGAGTCCTTTAAATGAGTTCACTGTAGTTTGTACCCCAGACTCCAGCTTAGGGCCTGACACATGGTAGGAATATACTAAACTCTTGTTGCATAGCTGAATGAATGATGGACCGATGAGGTGGCTCCTGGGATGTGTTGTAGGAGACCTGCCAGTGGGGGGAGGAAAGGGTGCCCCTGGCCAAGGGAACAGCAAGTGCACAGGCAGAGAGGCCCAGAGGACATGCACGCTCAAGGCCTTAGACGCAGTGTAGTTCTGGTGGAGCATGCGGACATGGAGGACGGAGGCAGGCAGGCCGGGAGGTAGGCAGGGCCAAGGTCCCAAGGCCCTGTACGTCCTGCTGGTACTTGGAGCAAACCCTTGGAGTCCCAGGGAGCCACAGAGGACTCTGAGCAATAAATGGCAGGACTGGGGGGCTGTAAAAAGGATGAACTGAAGGAGGAAAGATTGAGGGTACAGGAAGTGCTCATTAGAAGGCTCCTAAAGCAACAATCCTGGAGAGGGAGTGTCTTTATTTTTAATTCAACTCTTTTTGAGCACGTAGCAGGTGCCAAGAAGTTATTCCGGGCCTCATCTTCAGAACAGGATATGGATAATCCAGCTTGTGTGATCACCTGTCTCCTCCTGGCCACCTCCCTCAGGACATCATCCCTCTTCTTGGGAACACCTTTTCTGTGGGAAGGTCTGGACAGGACAAGAAGGGCATCACCTCCTTGGTGAGTGGTTATGTGGATAGCGATTTGGAAAAGTCTGCAGATCTGGTCTGGTACCACAGCTGCCTCCTCTTGGGGACAGGCCTGGCTCCCAGAGTGTCCACTCTCTTGGTTGTTCCCTTCCTGCATCTGCAGGATGTCTCCATGGTCAAGGCCAAGGGAGAACTTGTGAATCTATGGGTTTCCCTGCACTGAGCATGCAGAAGCTGTCACCCATCCCACTGCCCCGGGTCAGGGACCTCAAGGGAGAGTGTCCCTGGGAGGAGAGAATGGATTTGTCACAGAAAAGCTTGCTTCTGGCCATCTGCTTGCCAGCACGCCTGCCTGATGCTGTTAGCAGAGTCAAGCATGACTGTCTCGGGGGCAGACAGGGTTGCCCGGCTCGGAAACACGTAGGTGACCTGGGCCTCACCCTGGCCCTGAGTCAGAATCTCCGGGAGGAGGCCAGGGAGCCTGCGTTTTGCAAGCCTGCCCAGTGATTCTGTTCTCTACTAAGGCAGTGCTTCTCAGCAGCAGAGGAATCACTGTGGATCTTACAAAGCAAAGGCTGTGGTCCTCTTGGTGTGGGATGGGGCCCACAATTCTGCATTTTAATAGGCCTCCAGTTGATGCCCCTGCTCCTGGTCCACGGACCACACTCTGAGCAGCAGGGCACTAAAGGTCAAAGCTTCCGATTTCCAAACTTTTAAAAGGAACAAACCCCTCTCATAGGAACCCCAATGTATGAAATGGATGACGTTCATATAAAGGGATATCCAGGCAAATGTGTGATGCTTGCTTACTACAAAACCTGTCAATGAAAACCAGGCTGGGATGAAGACAGAAGCCTGGTGGTGAGGATCCCATGGCGAGTTTACCTGGACCTCAGCATCCATCATATCCAAACCGCGGATGCGCTGCAGCCCCAATGCCACCGCGACAAGGCTGCACCTGGGGTGATGGACGAGGCTGCCCTTGCTGCCCCCTCCAGTGCAGACTCACAGCTCGGACTTAGCCTTCCTTCCCCTCTCCATCCCCCCAGTCCCTCCCAGCCCAGTAGCCACTGCTAAATATAGTTAACAAAGCTGGCCGCCAGGCTTTTTAGGGGAGGCGCCAGTGAGAGGGAAGCAGGAAGAACAATCGCTAGCGCACACTGGAGGCCACAATGCCAGGCCCGCTAATTAGTGGTTTGGCAGCTGGGGAGGACAGGAGAAACCGCGGTGGGCCAGGCCCCGCGGCTCCCGGGCTCCTCTGAATGAAGGCAGGACATAGCGGCACCTACAGGCCTTGGCAGAGACTGGGAGTGGCCATCTGGTGAGAAGGCACGAGGCTGGCAGGAGGGGGCCTGTGGGGATGATCAGACCAGGGGAGCCAGAAGGAGCCTGGTGGGAACTTTGGTGGCGCTACTTGGTAACTATAAGTTGTCTGACCTCTCTGGGCTTGAGACAAGAAAGCGATGCTCTGTACTTTAGGGGGTTAAGTGGGATAATGTTTGTGGGAGTCCCTGCTGGCGCCTTGTGTTTCCCCAGACAGAGGTCAAGGTTCTCAGGGCACTGCCCAGCTTAGTCCAGCTGGTGTGACTGGTATGAACCTGTGCTCCCTTCCAGCATCCAGTCTCCACAGCCTCTCTGGTCCCCCCAGCCTTAGAGGAACACAGGGGTCTCAGTCCACTCGCAGGCTGCCAGGCTACAACAATCAATGCTCTAATAGAAGGATCAGGCAGAAGCAATCACTCTCATCTGAGCTCTGGATCCCTGGTCCACTCCTTGAGCATCACTTACCACCTTGGCTGGAGATGCCCCGTTAAAGAGTCTGACTGTCCCACCACCAGGGAGTTCCTTGAGGGCAGAGGTAGCACCAGCCAGGATTCATGGAATGATGGTTGCCAGTTCCTTCCCTCTTTGTACACACATGCCCATAAATCCCTCCATCCTAGAGCCCTCCACACAGCAATGCCAGGGCCTCGAAGGCTCCTACCCTTGCAGCAGCAACACCCTCCTCCCTCTGCTCTTCCAATCCATGTCTGTCCTTGCCTCCCAAATACTTCTAAGGCTTGCCTGTGCAGGAGGTCTTCTCTCCCAGAGGAGGCAGGGGCAAGGAGAGGGAAGCTACCATCTCACTCTCCTCACACTGCAAGGGGTTCTCCCAACAACCCTCAAGGGTTTATACCAATGTCATACCCATGTTAGGGTTGAGGAAACTGAGGCTCTGAGAAATAGGGCATCTTATGATTGAGCAGGTAAGCAGAGTCAGCCTTCCAGCCCAGGTCTGCTGGCTTTCAGGGCCGGTGGCCTCCTGCTCCCCTGCTGGGCCATGACTCAGCTGCTCCTCAACCCTGGCTCCCGTCAGAAGTCCTGGCCTCTCTGTGGGATTTATTTGCTAATAGCCTAAAGTCTTCCAAGTCTGTACTCCTGGCTTCAATGCCAGGCCGAACACTCTCTCAGCCTGGGCTCTGACTAGCTCTCGTCTCCAAATGGAGCACCTGAGCTTAACGCGGGGCCCTGGGCATGTTAGATAGACTTTTGTCACCACTGACTCAAAGGCTCCTCTCTCCCTCTTCCCTGAGTCCGAGGGAGGGTACACACAGCACCTGCCTCAGACACAGCACAGTAGGTACATCATGCAACAAAATGCCAAAGATTGTCCAGGGCAGTGTACATACAAGTCCCAAGTAAGAAAGTCAGGCCACCAGAGCTAAGAGTGCACAGAGGAAGAGAATTCCAGGAAACTGAGGTGGTCAGGGAAGGCTTCCTGGGAGAGGTGGCAGGATCTGGATCTTGTAGAAAAGGGAGCACCCAGAAGAGATAAGAAAGACAGTGTCCTACTCACGTATGCATAAGACCTGTGGGCTGGTCTGCTGGGTATTCTGGTCCAGGCTGGGAATGGGAAGAAACTGGCAATGCCTGATGATGGCACAGTGGTGATTAGGGCTCCACCAAGTGTTAGGACTCCTCTGCCCCGAGGGGCTGCATTAGTCAACAAGCCAATGAATGCTCAGGCCTTCTGCCACGATGGAAGACAAGCCTTGCATGGTAGACTCTGGGGACACACAGACCTGGGTTCAAGTTCCAGATCTTCCACTTCCTGCACTGAAGACCTTGGGAATAGATCTGTCAGGCCCTGGATTTCCCATCTGTAAAATGGTTTATGATAATTCCTATTTTACAGGTATGCTGTGAGAACTGAAGGGCATTATAATTAACTAACATGTATTGATCACAAGATATATACTATTTTAAGTGCAATATATGTTCTAAATTAAATCCTTGTAATACCCTCACAAGGTAAATCACCATTTTGTAGACACAGAAGCAGAGGCAAGGGACGGTGAAGTGAGTGGCTAACAAGTGGGAATGCTGAGATTTGAACCCAGGGAGTTGAGGGTCAGAACCCAACGTCATAACCACTATACTATCCACTTAACAGTGTGCTATGTGCAAAGCCTGACACAGAGTGTTTGTTTAGATAGCAAATCCACCCCTGGCATCACCCTTGATTTCTCAGTGGATGACTCCCAAGGCCTGACCTCCAGCCAAACCTCCTTCGTGACCTTCAGACCTTCAAGTGCAATTAAGTCCTGGACATTTCTACCTGGCACACCTCACTGCTAACATGGAATGAGCTCATCTTCACCACTCAACACCCATCCATTCCAAACCTGCTCTTCCTCCTGTGTCTCCTAAGGCAATCAAAGGCATCACCAGTTCCCTTTGTTCAAATCAGGAACCTGGAGTCACCTGAGAGTCTTTCTGGCCCCACCTCCATCTCCACTGCTTTCACTCATACCTGCAGCATGTCCTGCCTGACCTACTCAGCAGCTCTTGGGCACAACCTTACTTGTCCTCCAGGCCCATTCCCCCACCCCCATCCCCGAAAACCCAGTAGTTGCACAACAGCAGGAGCCGTCACTGCCTCAGCCATTTCATGGGGCTCCCTGCCTGCAGAGGACAGACCTAATGTACTAAGTGCATTTAAGAGTCTCTTGAACTGGCTCCTGCTGAAGCCGTAACTCAGGCCCATTTCCCAGCCCTCTCCCATTTATTGGTTCATCTCTGTCTCCCCAGAGACCATTTCAGTGCCAAGCACACTTAGTGTCCTTAATTTATAGCCTTTGAAGAAATGAATGAAGGAGTGAAATCAGCTGAGGTCATTCCCAGTGGAGCTGCAGCAAAATCACAGCTGTAAATATACAGCTCTAAGTGGCTGGAGCAGACAGGGCATGAGGAGGCCTTGTCTGCCATGTGATGACACAAAGGGCTCCGCAGACGGACCGTGCTGCAACAATGCAACCTAAGGGGGTTTCTGAGATGCTGAGCTGGCAATGGGGGCGGGGGGCGGGGAGGGTCTGAAATGAGGCCTCTTCCTTAAATGCCCATCTGCAGAGAGCTCAGTCCAACTGCCCTCCATCCTTCCAGTCTCTGCCTTCCCTGTCTCAACCAGCATGCCTTGCCTCTCTCTGTTCCCTGACCCTATTTTATTTTTCTTCCTAGTACCTGGTCTACTCTTACTATTTTTGGTTCGGTTGTTGATCATCTGTCTCCTGCTACTAGATTACGACATCCATGAGAGCTTAGCACTCAGCACAATACCACATGTAACAGAAACTAAGCATGTACTGGTTGATGAAAAAAAGGTGAAAAAATAAAAGGGCTGGTATCAAATCAATCATATTGCATCTTGATAAAAATATGATTTAATAGTCTTTTAAACCATTGGTGCAGGAACAGCCACATATTCACGGGGGAAAAATGAACCTCGACTCTCTGCCTCTCTTTCTGTGTGTGTGTATGTACACATATATGTATGTAAAGTATACATACATATAAGTGTATTTATATATGTGTATTTATATATAAATATACGTATAAAATCTTGTAACTCTCTCATAAGAAGATGAGCTTCTCAACAACTCATCTAAAAAATAAGCAGAAGGCTTGGACAGACAAAATCCAAAAGGCCAATGAACACACAAAAAGATGTTTATCATCACTGGATATCAGATAAATGCAAATCAAAACCACAATGAGATACTATTAGAATGATTAAAATTTTAATAAATGAGGATACCAGTTTTAGCAAGGGAATGTCCATCATACATTGCTGATGGGAATTTCAAATGGTGCAACCACTTTGGAAAACAGTTGAACAGTGTTTCATAAAGTTAAACACACTCTTATCCCATGACATAGCAATCTCATTCCTAGGTATTTACTTAAGAGAAAGTGTATGCCCATGCAAAGACCTGCATATAAAATTTCAATCATTACAGCTTTCTTGATAATGGCCCCAAACTTGAAATAAAACCGTATTTCCACCAACAGGTGAATGGATAAGCAAATTAGGCTATATTAATACAATTGAACATTACTCTGCAGCAAAAATGAATGCACTATTGATGCATTCAACAACATGGATGAACTTCCCAATCATCACCCTGAAAGAAGACAGGCACAGAAGAGTATATGCTGAGTGATTAGACTGTGTGATTCTACTATATGAAACTCTAGAAGACAAATCTACTACTACTGCGAAGTAACAGAGAGCGGATCAGTTACCTGGATAACTAAGAAGGGACAGAAAGAACTTCGGAGAACCATAGAAACCTTTATGTCCTGACTGCAGTGGTAGTTAGGAAGATGCATAAACTTGTCAAAACTCATCCAATTGTACACTTATGATTGGTGCATTTTATTTTGTTAATTACACTTCAATAAAGGTGATTAAAAGACACACATTTAGAACAGATATCAAAGAAGTGATAGGATGTGTAGAAATGTAAGATGTTTAATAATCAGAGGCCCCACGATACATACATGGGCTGTGAACTCACTCCTGGAGATGGAGTTAAAGCCAATTAAACAGTTATTTAATTTGAATTAATGTGGATTCACTCCATTTAAGGTGATGAGAGTCTTCCAGAAAACACATTACTCTCTCTCCATCAGTCCCCTCAGCCTATGGTCTCTCCACACGGGAAGCCCCTGTTATAATGAGTCTATCTCCTCTCGCCCTGTACTGCTGCTGGGCCTTCCCCAGCACCGTGTAGAGACCTAAAGAGGAGAGTTAGCTCCCCAAATGCAGGGCACATGGAAAAAATCATGGGCTCTGCTCTCAGAGCATCTTAATCCAAATCCTAGCTCGCTCTGTCCAGTCACTTAATCTCTTTGCACCTTTAATATTTTCTAAATCTAAGATACTTAAAAGATCCCCCTTTGGTCCAGGCTGGTGGGTGGGGGTCGGGGGGGCACAGGGAAGGGAACCTGAGCCTACTCAGTTGCCCCCACTTTTCCCACCTCTTCCAGGTTAGGACTATTAGTCCTAAAACACATGTTCCCAGTTAAAGGTGATTTCAGATAAACAATGAATGCGTTTCTAGCATTAATAAATATTCCCTGGGGCATAGTTATACTAGAATATTGCACAGGATATACTTACACTAAAAGGAAAGTATTTATGGTTCATCTGAAATTCGAACTTAACTAATGTTCTATTATTTCTATTTGTGAGATCTGACAAGCCTATTTCAGGCAGCCTCAAATCTAGAACCTTGGGGCTCCAGAGAACCCAGTTTGAAACCCTCTAATTTACAGCAGCAGGTCCTAAGCCAACAGGAGCCACGGGCTGGTAAATCCTTGAAATCCTTCCATTAGAATCTACAGAGAGCTAGAGGAGGTAGGGAGGAACTGAGTGGGAACCACCATCATGGCCTCCCGCCGTATCCAGCTCTGCAGCTCGTGGTACCGCTCTGGCTCATGCCTCGTGTGTGCTCCCTTTTACAAATTCATCTGGATGGGAGCCAGAACAGCCTTGCTGCTCTGCAGAGAAATACAGCTATGGGCAAGTCATTTAAATATCTCTCTCTCTCTGACTTGGTTTCTTCATCTCTAAAACGGACCTCCCAACAAAGCTAAAGTACAAGTCACAGAAAAGTAGGAGGGAAAAAGTCACCATGGGGAAAATGGATACAATGGCGATGCCCAAAACATATTAAGAGTTTAAAGTCAAGAAGAAAAAGGTAAATAATCAACAGGGGGGGGTGGGGAATGGGCAGGAGATATAAGTAATTCACTGGGATAAAAAAATACAAATGGAGCATAATCATCTGAAAAGAGGTCCTCATTAATAAGCAGGAAAATGCCAATCAAAACAACAATGAAATAGCATTATTTGGCCATCAGGTTGGCAGAAATGAGAAAGACTGATAAAATGTAGTGTTGAGAATCGGTAAGGAAATTGCCTTAGGTTGTTGTTGGAAAGGTGAATTAGTATGGCTTTTGGGAAGAACAATTAACAATGTAAAAATTATAGCCTGTGAGCGCTTTGTCATGGCAATTCCCCTTCTAGCTTTCCATCCAGCAGACATTCTTATATATGCACACAAACTCGCATGAACAATGGCACTCACTGCAGCACTGCTTTTAACAGAGCCCACTGTGAGCAACTTTATATCCATCAAATCAAATAGCTAACATGGCAGGGAAATCCAGAGTCACCAAGAAGAAAGAATATGAATACAGAAAGAGATCTAAAGACATATGACAAGTTCTTTTATTATAGACTAGAGGCCCAATGCACGAAATTCGTACAAGAGTAGGCCTTCCTTCCCTCCGGCTGCCGGCACCAGCTTCCCTCTGGCACCCGGGACCTGAGCTTCCCTCGCAGCCCCGGAATCATCCGGAAGGACGTCCAGTCTAATTAGCACATTATGCTTTTATTATTATAGATTATTGAATATTAGAGAAACAGAAGGGAGAGGGAGAAAGAGAAATATCAATGTGAGAGCAGAACATTGATCGGCTGGCTCCTGCACACCCACTACTGGGGATCGAGCCTGAAACCCAGGCATGTGCCCTGATCAGGAATCGAATCAGCAACCTTTTGGGATGACGCTCAACCAACTGAGCCACACCAGCTAGGGCCATATAACATTCTTAAAAGAGCAAAGTTTCACAATAGTACATTTTGTTTGTATTATCCTATCTAATAAAAGAGTAATATGCAAATTAACCATCACTCTGCTACACCCACAAGCCACGCCCACCCACCAATCAGGAGCGAGTATGCAAATTAACCCAACCAAGATGGCTATGGCCACGAAATGAGCAGGAGGCTTGGGTTTCCCCGGCAATGGAGGAAGCCAAACTTTCCACACACCCTGGCAGGCCCAGGCCTCCACTCAAGGCTACAAAGTTTCAACTATAGAAGATAAATAAATCCCAACAAAAATGACGGCAGCCATGGAGCTGGAGAGAGCAGGAGGCTTGGGTTGCCCCCCGGCAATGGAGGAAGCCAAGCTCCCGCAGCCCTGGCCTGCCTTGGCCTCCGCTACAAAGGTTTCAATTATAGAAGATAAATAAATCCCAACAAAAATGGCTGCGGCCACGGAGCAAGCAGGAGGCTTGGCTCCGCTCAAGGCTAC